AGCTCGATACATCAAGATCTGTTACTGTGGCGAGCTGGGGACTCATGCTCTCTGTTGTCCTTCTAGAAAGATCCACAGGCTTTTTTGTAACTCAGACTTGACTCATTCAACCTGCATTAGAAAAGCAGTCATCGGCTCTCAAGCTAGTTGAAGCTGGTGGAAATAAAGTGCTTTGTTTCGGAGTGCTGGTCACAGTCTTTCTTATCTGCTCTGGAAGTATATATATATACATATATGTATGATTATCTCCTTTTCCATTTCTGTAGGAGTTGTTAAGCAACTTTAAAACATTACATTACAAAAATACACCACAATGACAATGCCGGAAAGTGTTGACACAGTGGGTCATTTCACCAGTTATCAAATGTCACCTGACCATCGCAGATGTGTCAGATGCATTTCCAGAGAAACGATACACTTCTTTATAGGAATTATTTAACATTTCAGTTTCCTAATATCATTAGTTAATTAGTCTCATTAAAAAAACAAACAAACAACAAAGGGATGAAGGTCGGGAAGCCAAACATACACAAGTAACTTTATACTGGAGAAAATAAAAGTAAACACCATGAAAACTTGTGAGTGTAGTAATCTGTTTTTTTCTAAAAATACCCGTTTTTGCTTCCATATTCCAGCTTTAATGAAATAAAAATATTATAATATAACCCTTTAATTCACACAGGGCACAATCAGGTGTTTTCTGTTATTTTGTTTTATTATATCTCTTCTTTTCATTGTCTTAAGCCATTCTAAGGATACACAGGTTCACCTTTTGCGTAAAGCACATTTAGTTGTCATGTAATTAAATAAGTAAAATTGCTATTGCCATTAATATCTGTGAAACCATTTACCTGATTTGGAATGTTTAAAGAATATTATGAATATTATAAAATTATGAAAAGCTATCAACAAAATATCTATGCCTGACCTGCAAGATTGTGGTTTCTACAGGGCTTCAAATCTGCTGTCAGAGACGTCATTCTACATTAACTTTTGGTAAACTCCTGAGAGTCCATATTCATAGATTCACAGTATCGGATATTACTCTAAAATATCTGAAGCACCTAGCTCAAGCAGTTTTCTAAATAATGAAATTTTGGCTCCTCAAAAAATTGCTGCGGGAAAAACATCTAAAATCTGCCGTAATTCCTTCCTCTGAAACATTTATATGATTAAACTAATGACAGCAGGGACCAGAAAATTTAAAAAAAAAATCCTGCTAAAACTGATTCATTCCCCTGGATTTTTTTCAAGGAACATCTGGGATTTTCAGGAGCAAACACTGAATGATCCACGAGTCTCTCATGGTAACTTCCTGAATATACAACCCCTGTTACAGCCCAGAGATGTAGATGTAACCCATAAAAAATATGTCCTATTCCATGTTGTACCGAAAGGATATGCACACATGCACACACACAAACACACTGGCAAGCACAATTTTCCAGCACGACATACACTGGAATGAGTCGAGTTATTTTTGTGCACAAGGGGAACAAAACGTGTCTGCGTTTAGTTTCTGACTAGGGACACAATGGAAAGTCCAGGCATCTTCCTGAAGGTGGGACAAAATTTAAGTCCCATAACTTTTAACAATTACTCTTTAAACTTCAAACACTAGAAATAGCCCCTAATTTCAGCTTGATGTGTGGTGGTCGTCACCCACACATCAAACAAATGCTACAAATGTTACTACTAAAGAATGACAGAGTTTCAGCTGCTGCTGTCACGTGAAAAACTTTCCAGTTCTTGAGAAACCTGACGTGACCACTTCAGCTTGGGAAAGTATCGTCAAACCCATGACATAAACCTAAAAACAGGTAGTGGCTGAAACAAAGCTCATAGGGGCTTGTTCTTAGTTCCTGATTTTAAATATATTATCT